CGCAGCCCGGCCCGGCGTTGTCCTATGATAAATTGTAACTTGGAAGTTTCAAACTGCACGTGACATCTGCGCACAGCCTTGTGTCGAAATGGGCTGAATTTTTTATTAGTACTTAAACATTATATAAATCGAACACAATGTAAAGTAGTAACATGACATCATTAGTTTATAGAGAAATGAATACTCAGTTATGTGCAAGTTGCTTAAACCTGGTTTGTACTATAAATACTCTGCAAAAAGCCGTGAGATTTTGTTTACAGTGTACGTCTTCGAAATATTCTTCAAGTGTGTATTAATTACATTACCATTTCTCAATCTCTGAAAAACCTGCTACACTTTCCCACGCAGCCGGTAAATTAACGGGTACATTTTCATGACATACTCTGCAATAGCGGCATCAGCTCAGTCTACCACAACACCAGCCTGTCACAAAGTATCGGACATAGTCGAGCATCACTCAGCCCTAAGACGCCTTTTTGCGTTCATGTTTTCTCTTTCTCCATAATGAAGATTAAGTCGACATTATAACACGTGCGCTGCGCGTTGTGTTCGGCCGTCAAAATCGCCCCGTAAGCGATTCCGACGGANGAGAGAGAGGTTGTGTCCGGCACGTGGAGGGGTTAGGAGAGTTGGGCTTGTTGAAGTTCCGGAGGAAGGAAATCAGTTAAACTGTGTCATCGAGGGGTTTGCTATTTGGGAACGATTAAAGTGATGGTTGGTTTGACGGGGTGCCATTTTGTTTTATCTTTTCTATTGGTTTTTATTGCAACTCACAAGTCTATTATATCACTCTGTAGATCACTTTAAAAGTTTTTATTATTACTATTTGAATCACATTGTAAGTTGGCACTTATGAGAATTAAATAACATAAACAGCACTTATTATCTGTACAATTGTTTCATTTTTAATGGTTTTAATCATACTAGTGTTTACTTCCATTTATCTTTCCCTTTAGGATAATATACAGTAACTCCCTTGAACTTGAATATTTGTTTCCAGAAGAAGTTTTTTTGATACATTTTTATTATGTTTAATTGTTTCTGTGATGTTGATTAATTTTGCATGTTTTAATTCAATTTCTCATATTTTAAAATTATTTCAACCAGGACCCGCAGTATGTAACTGAAGAGGCCGCCCTGCACAAATAAGATGGCAAACAACTGAATAAATGAATTCATCTAGTTTTAGAAATCGTGATTTTGTCACAGGGAAAACGCTTTGACGAATTTTGGAAAGTATGCCTATTCTTAATTACCAGTATAAAATGGCCCGTGGGCTTCGTAGTGGCAAGGACTTGGATGCCCTCAGGGAGTCGTTTAAATTCCTTGGAACGATTTGCACCTGTTATAATGACCAAAAAACATCACCACTGGCACTGGGCTTCTTTTTTGCTCGAATCCACAACGAAAAGAAGCCGACGGGATTGACAAAACGGCACACGCTTACCCAGTGCGGTTCCCCAACGTCAACATGTGTTTTAATGTTGGTGTAAAATCGAGAGTTCCAACTTTTAGGTGTTAAGGTAGCGCACATGCGTCAGATATGTCATGTTTGGTAGCCGTCCACGTACATATATGAAGGCTTGAACACTTATGTGGAGTGCGGGACATTTTGTCACGGATATTTTGCTGGCTTCGAAACATGACAGCCTAACAGTTTCTTTGCCAGTCGTTGACGACTTCTCACCAATGCCACAATGAGCCGTTTAACGACAGAGCTGACGTTTGACCACATCAATGACTTCTTTAAACTCGGGGTGAAGAATCCTCGTATGCCTGACACGCTAGCAAAGAGCAGCACGGGTGGCTGGGGGAGATGTCAACCACGTGAAGTGTCCGAGGCGGCGGACGCAGCTCAAGTCCCCAGCTACAGACGGTAAGAATTAAGAAGAAAGTAGAGGCTGGGTGGAGGGAGGGGAAGTGGGTTGATTCCTTCATGCTCTTTCTTTTGCATCCTTGGCTTTGCCTCCTGCTATCATCTTTTGGAACAGTTACAGAATACCTGGCACCACTCACCTAATCGGCCATAGACCTTTTCCCAGTGATGTCACGATCGTGCTGGACCTCTGCTTTGTTGTGATGGTAATGAGTGCATAGTGTTGTGATGGTAATCTACCTATTCAAGATAAACTAGTCAAGTGTGCAGCGTTCGCACATGTGCTTGCACGTGGCTGAAGCTGCCCGTAGGAATATATACGATCACCATGGCCAAGGCGGTCCATGTGTGGTGGTATTGTTTACATTTAGTCACGTGGGTGAAAAAGGTCTATTCCACCAGCCGACTGGCCTAGGTTAGATGTTGTCTACATTGCATTGCGACTGACGTTCAGGGTATGAAAGTCCTCCTACAATTCGAAATGTTTTCAATGTTTTTTCTCACATATTTACCTGGCGAAGACAGCTCGAATGTCATTCACAAGTGCCTTGTATCCCAAATTCTGGAAATGCTGTGTTGAAATTACCTTGTCCGCGGGCGTATTTAGTAATTTCAACGCAGCATTTTAGGAATTCGGGATACAAGGCTCTTGTGAACGACATTTGAGCTATCTTCACCGGGTAAAAATGTGAGGAAAATCGTTGAAAAAAATTGTGCATTGTAGGAGGACTTTTATACCCTGGACATTAGTCGTAGTGTAAATGAAGACAACGTCCAACTTGGGCTAAGCCCCACTGCACTCTCTATAGTGTTGCTGTAGTCTGAGTAACTTTGACCGTAGAAATCGCCTTTTTTTTTTACATGCGACCATGTCCAAATGTTAAGGCGATTTGTAGGGCTCAGGTTACTCGGACTAGGGCATAAGAGGGCTACTATTCCATGTCATACAGTTGTAGCTAGCTGGCTACTGAGACAGCTGGCTGGCCACCTAGTGCGTGGATTTTGCATCACTCGCCTGTTTGAATATTTTGGAAGGGGGAATAGGCCTCTAGCAATTATATAATGTCAGTTCAGTGCCAGCTATTAAAAAAACAGAATACAGCAAAGTATACTTCATAGTTCAGTCACTATCCATCTCCTCTTGCTGTGGCATCGCTACAGTTTAGGACACCGAAATATATATGTATTTTTTTTATTTGTTCCAAATGCAAGCTGAGTTTGTGCATATTTTCTTAATTCACACCATCATGAGTCCCTCTCGCAGATGATTGTCAAATTTATTTGCATTGGCTGAGAAACATGGAAGAGGACTTTCTTGATGTAGGCCGATATTTGTTTCATTGATTAAACGCTGTCGGATATTTATCTTTCAAGCTTGATCAGTGTAGTGAATTTACACCTCTTCCATCTAAATGTGCATGTACAATAACATAAAAAGCACAGTAGTTTGATAAGTCAGTCCTCTCATGCAACATGCGCAATTAATGCTTGTTTGATGATATGTGAAACTGTGACTGTACATACATGCATGCTTCATAATCCCATTTAAGGCCCTGTGTGTAGAGAATGAAGCCTCTTGATAAACCAGTAGTCTGGTTCCCTGATCAAAGATTCCCTGATGACACTTGATAAAATCTTCGTTCTGGTATCACCCATGGATATAAGTACACCATGAAACAACATTTCAAGGGTCACAGGGAAAGCCTTGGGTGGATCCTATGTTTAGATGTACATGTACATGTGCATGCAGGCTGTTAATGTTGGTAGACACTTCGAAAACATGCACCAATCTCCCAAAACGGTGTAGGAAGCAGTATTGTGTTACATGTGGCCGACTTGCAAAAGAAAACAATACACATCTACATGTACTCTATCTCATTATGCACGTCGACACAGCTGGAAGCACCTGTATGTCCCAACATGGACAGGATGAGTTTAGAATATCTCGGCTATTACCCGACACGGGGGGTTTGGGTCATGTGGACATTGGGTGATACTGGACCCTTGATTAGATGAAAATACATGTAGTTGGAATCATCAGGTCTGGTATCCTGACTTATAAGCCACTGGCTGAAAGAAACTCCTTAAATGATTTGGGACAAATCTAGACTCACTGGTGGGGCCATTAATACAGTATTGAATGTCGGCAGGTTTAATTTTGTTGGAAGAGAGAAACGCTTTGATATCTGAGTGAAATGAATTAAGGTGTAGATCATGGAAGCTACAGTAGAGGGCGCTGTACATACACGTGTTTCCTGGTGCGCTAACTCAGAAAGTAAGGCCGTGTCCGAATCACTTGGCTAAAGCTGGAAATTACGCACGAGTCTATGGTGGTGGCCGCGGCCAGTTCCCGTGAAGTCGTGTGTAAATTCGGGCCGTAGCCAAATGATTTGGACATGGCCTAACATTAACATTAGCTTCAAGGAGTTACATTAAGTTACAATGAACTAAACTTAGGGTTTTGGAAGGCAGATACACCAGAAATTTATTGATTAGAGATACAGACATTGAGGAGACTAACCAGTGTAAGACCTACCACCACGATTAAGCCAAAGACAAAAAAAAATGCAAGTAGAAGTTAGATTAAAGTCCCAGAAATCCAGGACCAATTCTGAAACCAAATCTGAAGACACAGCCTATAATATGCAAACAAAAGAGACCAAATCCTACATTATAAATGGTGAAGGTTTAAGTACATGGTTTGTCAACCCAATATCCAGGCTCCCTTGACTTCCAAAAATCCATATCTGTGGTCTCTGCTGATGAGTAAAGTAGCTTAGGGCATACCCAAATCGTCCAGTCTGACACTGTGTGATGTCTTTGTTGCCTAGCAACCCACAAGATGCCTATCACCAGCAGGAATACGTCCAGCAGTACCAAAAGCAATGGGAGGAGGAGCGATTGCAGGATCATGGGGGCGGAGCAGCAGGGGGCGATATTGGAGCCAGGAGCATCCACACTAGTCTGTCGGGTGGGTTCAGTCATTAGCAGTGAGCTACGTGTAGATATCCTGAGAGCTTTGCAGACCAGAAACGTTCAGGGCAGAGAAACATGCCAATAAAATCAGGCTAACGTGACACGCTCCTGAAGGCCAAATAAAAAAAATAGTTGTTTCCTGTTACATTGAAAAAATATGACTATGGGTCGGTAGGTAAAAACCACAGACATAAAAATGCATAGACCACCAGTCTTGTGCGTATCACTATGATTTTGAAAAGTATGGGCAAAACGATGGATGGCAGTGTGTATTGCATTCCGTGCACAATGTCATGCATTCTCATTTGGTTGCATTGTGGTCTCAGAACACGTTCACTTTTTCCTCTTCAGTACTGTCCTCTCTTCATTTCAAATGAACTGCGTCATTTTGAATTAACATCGGCCAGATTAAGAACAAAGAAGAGTTTTTTTCAATCCGAATATAGCCACGTAGAATTTTAGGCCTGGAATTCTTCAACTGTGCGTAAATTCCCAATATCAAAGCTAGAATTTGCCATTAGTTTTGATTTCAGTCAGGCGCCGCACATGTCGCGAAATGATCATGTAGTTTGGAATGCAATTTGGCAGTCTATTCATTAATATGCCATTAGTAAACCCCCATTTTTAGCCTACTTGTAGATATTAAGGTAGGATTGATGGTCAATTAATTTCGGTGTAAATACACTCACCTATTTGCATTGAACATGTACAGGAATTAACCCTAACAGTCCTCAGTCCACCAACAGGTGAAGGATTGAGGACTGTTAGAATCTCTGAATATAGAAAGTACGGCAGATGGCTTTGGGTGAAGTGACGACAGAGCAAGCTAACTTTTTTCAAGGGGACAAAGTTAAAATATTAGCAAACTAGAAAATATGCATGGGGAAGTACACAAAAAATAGAGTCTGGGGTTTACACTAATAAAACGATATACATGTACAGTGGTTTCTTCATCATTTTGCAGATTAGGTCGAGTGTTAAACTGGAAACACAACTATTCCTGGTTAGGCCTAAGACAGCGGAGTGAACAAGCTGAATCAATGTTTTCAGCTGTCTTGTGGGCAATTTTAAAAGGGGTCATTCCATGAGGTTGGGGCATTATTTGTGATGATGTCAATTGTAACATGGGTTCCGTATAAATCAACAGCCACTTCCCTGCATTGACATTGTTATACTTCTTGCAAGGCTGAATACACAGATGTGTGTTATTTCTAGAGAGTAAATGACCTGCTCTACAGGTCATGACAGACGGTAAAAGGTACCCATGTAACAAGGACACCGTTACAAATTGTGCCCCAACCTCATGGAATGACCAAAATAAGTACATAACAACAATATTGGAGAGAACATACAGGGTGTGGATGAGGGGACTTTCAGGGTTTAAATTATCTGTCGTTTCCCATATCATTAAGATTTAAGCACAGTGTTAAAAGCACCAATAACTGAGCTCATGGCCAGTAATTCTCAGTTAACTGTTGATTTAAATGTTGTTGCATGCACGACCAGATTTGGAGAGCATGACGGAGAGTGACGTCTTCAGCTTGCCCAATGATATTCCTGCAGAGCTTGCATCCCGAGTCTACCACAACTACAACTTCGATCACACTTACAATCCGGCACTCCCGATCACAGAGTTCAGTGAGCAGGTGGAACTTTGCTCCTTTTTATTTTTCTGGAATATTATTAAATGTAAAAGATGTGAAGGGGGGGTATTGGGATCTGGGATGGGCGTGGCATTCAGAGGATGGTGTGGGTGTGATTGGTGATAATATTATTAATTATCAAAAAGCCATTGGGTTCTAGTGAGAGTTCATTTACGAGTACAATGAGTAACAAGGTGGTGTAGAGTGGCCTAAGGGGTCATGGCTCGTCCTTGTCAACCTAGAAGATATCTGGCCAAAACCTTATATGATCTGGTCTTTGCTGACAACAAAGTGCTTTGAGAGTCTCCAACGCCAAAGGTCCAGTACATAGCTCAATGAATTCAGTTGATGGAGCTGAAAGAATGTTAGGACAAGAATAAGTCTTTTGTGAATTGAATTTGAATGAAATATGGTAAGATTCGCGTGAACATAACAATTTGAATTCCCCATATTAGAGACACTGTTGCTATACCTCGTGATTCGGGCTTGCAAGCTTTTGCTTTACATACCGGTAAGAGATACCTTGCGTCAATATGCCATTTTCAATGGATAAGAAGGGCACAAAGGAACCAGTCCATTCCAGAGATAGTGGTTGCTATGCAAAAGCTTGCCCCAAATCATGAGGTACATGTATAGCAACAGTGTCTTTAGTTTGGTGAATTCAAATCGTTACGTTTAAGTGCAATAGGTAACCCAGTGTACCAGATTTTACTCAAGTTTAACTCACAAAAGGTTTATCGTGAGTCCACTGTGAGTTTCTCTGCTCTAATGAAGTTTTATTAACTGAAGTTGTGTATCCATTGCCGTCAGGTTGTAAACACCATTGAGGCCCATTCAGTGGCGATTATTCAGGGACCTACAGGAAGCGGTAAGACAACCCAGGTGCCTCAGTATATCTTGGATTACTACGCCATCCAAGACAAGCACTGTAACATCATCGTGACCCAGCCCCGCCGTATCGCCGCCATCAGCATCGCCCGACGGGTCTGCGAGGAACGGCGTTGGCAGCTGGGAAGTCTCGTCGGGTACCAGGTTAGATTTGGTTTCTGAGGTGGGCGCAATTCCGCAGTGCCTTGTTTACCTACCCTTACCTTATTGTGATTTAAAAAGAGACTACATGTATTAAGACCAGTTTCCGTCTTTATTGTCATAAAGAGACACAGACAGCATTGCTTAAGCAATTGCAGTGTTCAATCAATTCTAAATACTTCATTGTGACTGATGCGAACATGGACACAAACACAGACCAGACAGTCGATAAAGTTGGATCATGTTCAACTTGGCCAGCCTTCTGCGTCAAGTTGTCAGAGGTGGCCCATACAAATGGGCAGTGATAGGAGGGGGTGTTCAGCAATATCGCTGTTGCTTTGAGTATCATGCACTTGGCGCAGTTTGGCCCATCTTGCCTGTCCCCACCTCATAACTGACAGTAGATGAAGTCCATGTGTATTGGATTACAGTGCCAGTTTAACTTCAAGAAATAGAATAACCATAAAAAGGCATCCACCAGACTACTTAAACCTCCACTCCCAGTCAGTATCTGGCATTCTCCTGATGACAAGCAGAGCATACTGCTCGAAATGTCGAATACCTCTGGTTCTTTTCAGAACCGCAAATACTCACAAAAGAGATACGTCCATGGTGCTACCGCAAACCTATTTTCTATTATAAAAAGGCATATCAGTCAGAAATGACGGGTTTCAGATGCCATCTTGTTTCAATAATTTGATGGAATGATGTCACACACCATCTCTTCTTCATATGTCACCGTCTTGATATCTTGCCGACTGTCGTCGATTGTGACATCTCTATAGAAACTAGGCTTAACCCTTACCCTCCCAAATCCTTTTCTGCAAAGTAGAGGAATTTGGAGGATTCAGGGTGTATGGCAGAAATGCTTGGCTGATTTCAAAGGATGCCATACATGAAGGTTGTGAATTAGTCCTTATGTTGTTTGTGCTTAGTCAAGCACAAATTCAGCCCGATATTTCTTTTGAATCAACTGCACAGCTCAAGAGTGCCATTCGCACTGCCTCAACATAATGACAGGAAATGCCAGAGGATTTTGAAAGATTTGGGCTGAATGCAATTTTTTCATGTTGGAAATCGGAGGATTTCGGAGGATGCAGGATGGTTCCTAGTAAAAGGGCCTGGGGTAAGGGTTAACAGCCATTCCCGAAGAAGATTTAGGAATATTTTGTAGGAATGAGGAACAAAAAGTTCAGGTGATGATACTTTACATGGAACTGCCTAACTCTTGGAGGATTCAGGAAGGTTTGTAACAAGACTGTTCAGAGAGTCAGTTATCCTGTATCCAGAGTGGGTTTGGTTCTGTAGCTCATTCATAGTGAATCAAAGTGCGGTCAGTCAGAACGAACAACTGTTCATTGAGCAACTGAAACTGTCTAAAGTACATAGTCATTCCTGTGATCACAAAGCACTGTATGGAGTCATCTCAGTCAAGGACTTGTTTCTCAAGATATTGCACAAGTTTGACTTAAAACCCATCACTTCTAGTATACAAGCCTGTCACGTTTACTCTGCCAGTAAGCTCTTGAAGACATCGACAGAATATTCCCATTATGTGATGTAAGCATGCCCAAACTGTCAAAATATGCCAACCCCTGTGCAGATTTTCTTGTTATGTTCATTACTGACTGCTTTGTTAAACAAGGCAGTGCCCACGTTTTTGGCTGGTAAACTGAGAGTAAAACCATCTGTGACCCTTGGTCTTACATTTGTTTGTTTGTATCAGGTTGGCATGGATCGATGTGTTTCCGATGACACCAGGCTTACGTTCGTTACCACCGGTGTACTGTTGCAGAGGCTAGTGAACAGCCGCACCATGAACAAATACACACACATCATTCTTGATGAGGTACGGTGTCTTAACGTACAGCGTGTGGACTGTAATGAATTGTTCAAAGAGTGACAGTGAATTTGTATGTCGTCTTTCCAGTGAGCTATACTGTCCAAACACTGGCTCGACACGTGTTAATTGGGCAATATCCGACTCAATAAGGCAGTTCCAGTTCCAATGACCTCTGACACAAGGTCGTGTGAGTAACATATGCTCATGTAGGGTATGTGGGTTACTAGCACAATGTATATGGTTACTTGGTGTGGTTTGGTTTGGTTTGGTTTATTTCACATCTTCGTTAACATTGCAGGTGGACGAACAGTGAAAATAAATTCAGATTAACAAGATACGCAATGTTATGATATTAATTCATTTACAATAAACGAAAATGCAGGATGCTGGGTAGAAAGTCGAGGCTTATACGAGACCCAGCACCCCGTCTTACAATGAACATTCCATTTCTACACGTTTTGACAAAATATAAGTTATATCAAGTTGTCTCAGTACAATACAAATACATTTAGCTGGTACACATGAATACGCTGACGGCTTTGTGTGCCGAGAAGCAACATGAAATGGGACCCTGACTGTGTGCCCTGCAGTACCGCAGTGTTAAACCATGTCTGAATGTTGTGTCTAGAGTTGGGGCTAGCTATTCATCAGTTAAAAAACGCATGGGCAGTTTCTAAACAAATGACATAGCCATAGTGCTGAATGCCTCGTATTTAGTCAGAAGAGACTGGATTTTATTACCACCTTCTTGGCTGGGGAAATATTCTTTTTTTTGTCACAGTCGTAATTTTACCTACGTGGGCTGAAAAAGTATGACTTTCCGGCAGTACAAAAGCAAAAGAATCATCCATTCAATATCGAGACATCTCACTCGGCTATCAAAACACTAAATACTAAACACTTCTACTAAATCTATTGAATAAAAATACAGCCTTCTTTCAAATGAAGGGGTAAATGTACATTTTGAGATTACTTCTGACACCTAGAAAAGATGATATTTCTGCAAACTTGGCTGCCCACAGGAATTGCAGACAGTGTGAAAGGTGTCAATAGATTAATATTTAGCTCAGCAAAATGTAAGAGCCATTCATATACCAGATATTTACTCGGCAATTATCTCTACACTTTGCTATTTTATGAGGTTCATACCAGAATGCCATGTTTCAATCTTGGTTATCAGTTGTTGATGTATTTTGCTTCTCTTCAGGTGCATGAACGAGATCAGGAGATGGACTTTGCCCTGCTCGTGACGCGGAAGCTACAGAGGTCAAACTCCAGACACGTTAAGGTAGGATTACCTTTTTTCCCTTTTCAAATTGTCACCCTAGAATGCTAGCATTGGCCCAAATTATTCACATTTCTTTTGTACATTGACTTCACTTTCCTTTTTAATGTGACAGATTATTTTAATGTCGGCGACCTTTGACACCTCGATGTTTGCACATTACTTTGCCATGCCCATCGCGGGAAAGTTGGAAGATGCACCAGTTGTGAACATTGAGGGCAGAATTTACGATGTGCAAGAGCATTATGTGGAGGACATCTCACATCTGGGACCGGTGAGACAGGTGTCCTACGTCCTTGATAAAAGTCTGTGATAATAAAACCTGAACTCTTTCTTGTCAATGAAACAACACCCTACAGTTAACCCTACATTGCCTGCACTTTTTTCCATATAAGAATGTCGAAGGATATTGTAAAACCAAATGGGCTAAATCTTGAATTTCTCATTTTTAAGTAGTATTGATGAACCCAAAACACTTGCAAAAGTCTTCCTGAATCCTCTGCTCTGCATAAAACTCATTGCACCCATTACACATACATTGTTTTTCAAGTGAAAGCTCCATATAAAGAAAGAGTTACGTTGGCTCTACCTTTTCTCACCCCGCCTGATTGAATTTGGAAGGTCTGGGAAGTTTATGGCTTACAACCCAACTAAATCAAATTTTAAGAGCAGAATCCTTTTTCTTGTTCCCAAACTTTTAATATTCCCGTTTGGTCATACCATGGTCCATATTAAAAAGGCTTGTATTTGATTTTACAGTACATTGAAAGTGAAAACGGGGATGCGGCAGTAACGAGTGAAGCCTATGACCTAGCCAGAGCCTTGATTGTCCAATTTGATGAGCTGGAAGTGGCTGAACAAGGGTGAGTATTGTCCTTAGTTGCAGACCCCAGTAATATATTTGCCAACGATATTTGCTGCCCTTGCGATGGTAGAACTCGGAACAGACCTTGTTGCCGAAAACTGCAATCTGGAATGGTAACTGTGACAGGAAGAAGCTGAATTCCCACAGAGTGATGGAGTCGGATTGACCTCAAAGCTAAGTTGGTCTCACCGTGTATTGAAAATTCATGGGGACACTGGGTGGTATGACCAGAGATTGGCAATAAAAGATCATTGCCAGTCGGAAATTTGCTAAAATAGGGCCGGATAACTCCCCCGTAGTTGGATTGAACTGATCCTACATTAGGGTTAAATTGCATTGGATAATGTTCATGGTGACGCTTGGTAATGTGGCCAGAAACACCCATAAAAGAGGATTATCAGTTGGAAAATTTCAGTAAGAGAGCTTTGTAAGTCAATTGGTCAACTTGAACTGCAAGGGTATTATTTTGGATTCAGCTATGTCCAAGTTCCATTCCAATTCATTTTGCTTTGTTCAAGCCAAAGCAGTTGTCAAACACGAATCGTTGTAGCTTAAAATGCTCCTGTGGATAATTACATTTAATATTGAATGTTTCATTGTTCTCTGTTCCAGAGATCATGAGAAGAGTGGTCGGGCTAAACACAGGGGTACAGTCTTAGTCTTTCTACCAGGTAAGCCCAGGTGTTTTGATTGCATAAGAAGAATTGCAGTCAATGGATTCTGTGCAGAAGCACCCCCTCATTGGGGAGAAAGAGAGAGGTGGGGCATGCAACCTATGCTTACGTAAAAACCCCATGAAGTTGTACATTTTTCAGATTAAAATTACATCTCCTTTGATAGCCTTACATACCAGGTTTGGATCTCTGAACACAAAAAGTCTGTGTCATGTACAGTTAGAAGACGTGTGGACTTGGACAGTTCCACACAATGTTTCCTTTTCTCTGAAAAACAGGTTGAGGGGTATTGTGAGGTAAGGGTAATCCAGACCAATATAAGGAGGAATAATCAATGAAATCAACGTCAAGGAGCTAGGCTGAAAAGTGAAAGTGTTCTTATATTAATCTCTATTCAGTGCCTTACATGTGTTTTTATTAGCATTTGATATATTGAAACATTTAGGTCTAATCTGTTCAAAGACTAACAGGCTGCAGACTTGGAACATGTTTTCAAGCTTTCTGCCTGTTGTTGTACATGTGAGAACCTAACCGATCATTTTTGTGTTCCATTTCAGGATTGGCTGAGATAAACCAACTGGATCAGTTGTTGGCCAGTGTGGGTCCTACCCACAGGTAGGTTAAGCTTCTTTCAGTAAATTCTGTCATTCCTTTTTTCAGTCGCTGTAGTCAAAAAGTCCAGACCATCAAGAGATTAGTCACAAGACCAGTCACAAGACCAGTCACAAGACCAGTCAAAAGACCAGTCACAAGACCAGTCACAAGACCAGTCAAAAGACCAGTCAAAAGACCAGTCACAAGACCAGTCAAAAGACCAGTCACAAGACCAGTCACAAGACCAGTCTCAAGGCCAGTCTCGAGACCAGTCTCGAGACCAGTCAAAAGACCAGTCTCAAGGCCAGTCTCGAGACCAGTCACAAGACCAGTCACAAAACCTGTCACAAGACCAGTCAGGAGGCCAGTTTCGAGACCAGTCACAAAACCTGTCACAAGACCAGTCATGAGGCCAGTTTCGAGACCAGTCATAAGACCAGTCACAAGACCAGTCAAAAGACCAGTCACAAGACCAGTCTCAAGGCCAGTCTCGAGGCCTGTCTCGAGGCCAGTCACAAGACCAGTCACAAAACCTGTCACAAGACCAGTCATGAGGCCAGTTTCGAGACCAGTCATAAGACCAGTCACAAAACCTGTCACAAGACCAGTCATGAGGCCAGTTTCGAGACCAGTCATAAGACCAGTCATAAGACAAGTCACAAGACCTGTCATAAGACCAGTCAAAAGAGAAACTAGTTATAGAGATGAGAGTAAAAATCTAAAGTAAATCGGGAGTACGTTCAGAAAGTACCGCAGTAGCTTAAATTGCAACATCTGGATTACCTGCAGAAACGTCAAAATCCAAAATGAGTTGATTGCGTTGTCACATGCCATGGCTGGTTTGGGCCCCATTATAACTGGAAAAGTAAATTCTCAGACCTACCGTTGATGCAATGAGCCCAAAATCTAGAGTGAATGAAAGTAATTAGTAAACTAGGAAGCTGAAGGGGGATCATGTTTATCTACAAATAAAATGACTCCCTGGCACTCTCTAATGTACAGCTAAGTTGATGAATGGCTACCACCGTATTTGTTTAAAGTACACTTTGAGAGTGGCTAATCGTTTAATTGTTCATAGGCTGTGGGTGTTGCCACTTCACTCAACAATCACCACCCAAGAGCAAGCCAGGGCATTCGTCAAGGCACAGGATGGCTTCAGGAAAGTCATTTTAGCAACTAACATTGCAGAGAGCTCTATCACTGTGCCCGATATCAAATATGGTGAGAGGATATTCTTCATTTGGGATCACAAAGATAAAAAAACTGCAGCATATGTAACAGACTTCAATATTTTTCACCCTCACGATGCTCATTTTCATTGGGACGGCAAACCAAGTGATACATCAAAACAAAAAGCTAAGTTTGCTCTTTCTAACGCAAGCTAAAACAAATTTACACGTGCAGGAGAAAAATGGCTTTCGGGCCTATTTTGTGAGATTCGCTCTTATATTTCATGTAACTATACTTTTATAATGCATATTCTTCACTGACTTCCTGTTTGGTCAAACAGGAAGTGTTTTTGCATTCGTGCTTGGATGTGTACCTGAAATATACATGCTTGGGTTCATCAGGTTCAAAGGTCAGGGAAGATCACCCTTGTTTTCTGATGGAAATCAAGCAGTTGAAAATTGTACAACTCGGTAAACGAGCATTGAGCTCTAGCATCTGTCTTACGGTTGAATTTTGTGTCGTACAGCTGATTTTTATACTTTGTCAAAATTTACAGCAAATTATCCATTTTTGTGTTCAAAATTATCTGCCTTCTCTTGGTGTTGAATTCAATCATTTTTCCCTTTGGTTTTATTTGGTTATGAACAGTCATTGACTTCATGCTGACTAAGTGCATGGTGTGCGACCCAGAGACTAACTATCAAAGCCTCAAACTTCATTGGGCTTCCAAAGCCAATGCCATCCAGAGGAAAGGTGAAGTTCTCACGTTTATTTCAAAGGAAAAAGAGTGGAGAAACTGTGCGTATCAGATTGGTTGAATAGGGTGATAAAAGAATTCAGTGCCAGTGTAACTTGCATATTAATGAGCAAAAGTCTGGATACCTGGCTTCTGTAAAGTTTGATTATTTTAGTGACTTGCTTTATTTCACGACATGTTTCTCAGTGAGCAGGGTTTAGGTTTACAGATAGAACTGACCCCCACCCATGAACAGTTTTTCTTGTCATGACATCATTGCGGCAACAGCACTCCTCATTGGTCAGGATATTATAGAAAATTATAGAATGTTAAAAAAAAAAGGTGCACTTATTAATTAATGACAGTAACCAAAAAGGGATGTTAGATGGTTTTCTTACATATAAGTAAAAAGTTACACAAAACATTTTCCGAAGTAAAATTTGCATCACAAACACTTTAAGGCGGGGGGGGTTAGTCAGAGCTCTTGTTGATGTACGTATCACCTCAAGAATGGGCCGTCTTTGTTGTGCTTACAGGGCGAGCTGGTCGTGTGTCGTCAGGTAAGGTCTACAGACTCGTCACCAGGGAATTCTATGAGGACTGCATCCAAGATTATGGAATCCCAGAAATGAGGGTATGAAGTTGCTTAGTATGAATTCATATTTATACAGTTGTATACTCATTGTAATCAGTTTATTGTGAAATGTAAAAAAAAGGAAATCAAAGACTACAAGTGTATTATAAAAGTGGAGAATTGCCAAGTTTCAAGTTCCATAACAAAGATTTTTTTTATGTTTATGCTGAATTGCAGTGTTCCCTCGGTGATTATTGACTTGCTTTGATGTCATCTTTGGTTTGATTTTTTGTCAGCGTTGTCCATTGGAGCGTCTGATTCTTCAAGTCAAGATGCTTGACCTAGGGGAACCCAGAGCCATCTTGGCCCTGGCCTTGGAACCTCCTAACCTAGACAACATCACAAGGACTGTACTACTCCTCAAAGAGGTACTGAATTGTCTCCAGTGTGTAGGATTGCTTTAGAGTTTGGATAATAATAACGTTGTCATTGTCTTCAAAGGTTTGGTACTGACCAGTATGTTACCATGGAAACAGAAAAAGTCACAAGATGGGAACATTTGTCAAATTACTTAATACGTCGGACAAGATTTGAAATATTTTTTAACTGTCAAGATTGAAGGTTATTGAGGTTTCTGTGGTCCCATTTATAGATCAGTTGCCACATACCGAGGAGGAAAAAACCTTGCCTAACTCAAGGAGCCAAGTAGGCTGGCTTCCTTCCTTTCATGACATTGCACACTTTGGAAAAGGGTCGGGAACCAGTCTAGAAGTAACACTTTCACAGTTTCCCATACAACGTTCCTTATGTACCCTGAGTTGAAGTGCACCCTCTCTAGCAAAGAAGGGGGGCCGGTAGGAGGTTTTTCAAAAGATCCCTTGGACACGCCCCAAGCACATGCGGAGACCATGCGTTCAAACAGAAATTGGTCATGTGTACTCAGTGTGCCAGGTGTAAAACGTGCATAAGCATGTGTACGATTAAGCCGAGTTACTACCAAAGGACCATCAGAGCTCTGCATACACAGGCCCTCTCTTGCTCCTGGTCCGAGCAGATTGTTTGTATGTTTGCAGTACATCAAGCGAAAGTCATTGACACTGCAGTTTACAAGTAACCTTTTTCCTTCCCGCAGCCTACATGTACCTGAAGTATTCATGTACACTCCTTACAGATTTCAAGAGGTTTTTTCAGGGATTACATGCCTTCTGATCAGAGGTAATAGTGTTTTTGATCAATTGCTTCAATCCCCACCCCCGTCTGTCAGGTTGGTGCTTTGTCCACAACAACCGGTGGTGTGATCTCCCCCAGCGACAGCGATGGTGATCTGACTTTCGTGGGAAGGGTGCTGGCGAACCTCCCTGTGGACATCCGCATCGGCAAGGTCCTGTTGCTCGGCCACGTCTTTGACTGTCTCAAGGAGTGCCTTATCATTGGTGAGTAGAGACAGGTGACGTTCCCCTCCCGTAACATCGTTAGCAACTTGGGAGGTCAGATGGTTCCAGCACAGGCACATTTACCTCAGCACAGAGTTACTGATAATGATGACTCTGATATTTAGAGATAGTTCTTTTTTGGAACATTCTACCCATTTCAGATTGTAATGGTCTTTTTTGAGTCAAACAGAAATATCAGCACACCAGGCAGCTTACCAGGAATCAAGCTTTAAAATCTAGACAGTGCGTGCCGGAGATTGGTGCTCTTGGACTGGATCTGATTGTTCCTGCAAAACGGCACCCTGGAAATGTCCTGGTTACAAATGTTTTTGTATTTGTTGCCCACCTATGTCATCTGTCCATCCCACTACTTGTATTCCTTCATATTTTAATTAACTTAGGTGGCACTGCCTTGGTACTCTGCTTGACTTCAACACATCATTTTGTATTTCACTTTGCCTTTAGACTCTGTAGGAGGGCTTGGGGACAACAGCAGTCATTGGTCTCTAATCAGTACATCATTTCAAGGAGTAGGACAAAGCTTTCTGAGATGTTCTTGGTGTCCAAATTAACATACTCTTGGAATTTAATCTTATGTGCAGGTGCTAGCCTGTCTTTGAAGAGCTTCTTTGCTCGGCCTTACAAGGATCCACTCAAGGCTTATGGGTGAGCTACACATCACAAAATGAGAAATAAAATCAAGTCCATGCTAGTGTTGCTTCGGTGAGACTTAAAACCTCCAAGAACATGCTTTTGCTGTGGAGTAACCTAACGGTAACGAGAAGTTGGGCTATTTTGGTGGAGAAAACATTGCATTAACTTTTAACTTGTAGCAGTGGTTACTTTTTGATAGTGTCCTGGAAATGGAAGGAGACTGTGTTTGCAATGCATTGTGGGGTTAGCGATGCCATTAGATTAAGCCCTACCCTGACGGCATAAACTTTACAGCAGCAACCTATACCAGTCCTGGTTCATATTTGCTGTCGTTATAAGATGATTACAGTAATGTATCCTACCTATGGACACAAGCATTGTTTGATTCCACACTCCAAACATCCTTTTACAGAATTGAATCTAGCTGTGGATACAACATCTTTATGATTTTTCCCCTGTATTTCAGTGCCAAGCTAGACTGGGCCAACAACTCATTCAGCGATTGTATCGCCATCCTGAATGCGTTCACCCAGTGGGACAATCTCCGACAGACCAAGGGATTCCTACGAGCTGGCATGGTGAGTCAGTCCCTAAGCCGTGAGCCTTTTCACAAGGATGCCAAACTGGTCGGGCGTTATCAGAATTACATTGCCAAGCCGTGGTCTGCACCCAAGACACTATCAAAGCTCAAGAAATCTGTTTTGTGAAGTATTAAGAAAAAAACGAACTGGTACATTTGTCAGAATTCCATAATTTGTATTTGATATTTCCGCCAACTTTCCTCTAAACTTTGATTTTTACAGAATGAGAGAAAGTGGGGAGAGAAGCACATGATTCAGATAAATCGAATCCGCGAGGTAAGTTTGGAGGCTGTGAATAGACCGTAGATATCATGATGTGCTGTAAATCACACAACAGTACATTATTTGGGAATTTTGGAGACTGAGTCTGGTCTTTAGCCGTGTCTCGTGTAAGTGTTTGTTTTGTAATGTATTCAAGTTTTTTTTAATGCATTGTTACACTGCCGTACATAATTGTATGTTTGTTCTCAAAGAGCCCCACCACGGGTCTGTGTGCGATGAGAATTTCATCCCTGTGGCCAAAACGTCCAGATTGAATGATTCGGACATCGTGGGCTATAAAAACTGGTTCTACACTTGGAGATGTTGCCTGTGAAACATTCTATAAGAGCCACTGTGCTTAAGCAGGTTGTATTGGACCACAGATGCCTTTTATACGTGAAGACATGTTTGTTTATGTGTTCTTGTAACCTAGGTGATGGATGTTATCAAGGAACTGAGCGATCGATTGGCCAAATTCAATATCCAACTGCCTCGGGGAAAACACAAGAAACCGAGTCAGAGTGACCATGGCGAGGATCGTCTGATTTTGAAGGTATCCACAGATATCATAAAAGGAGAAATGTCATCGGACTGATTTCTTCTGCATGAGATTGAAATAGAAGCCTTGGTTTTCAGTTCAGCGCCAATTTTGATGTCAGCTTCAAATATTTTTGCCGAAAATATGTCAGCAGAAACAGGGCTTTGGCCAATATTCCATGAACAGCCTACTGCTGGCCAGCAGTTGTACAGTGGGTTTTGTTTTGGATATCAATCAGGAAAGCAGTATTTTCTACTTTGTGGCTAAATATAGTCGTACCCTACTGAAATGCTTGCATACACATGTAGAGTGCGTTATGTACAGACCCTGTTCGTGGGAACTATAGAGTGGCTCTTTTTAGATTAAAATTCTCAACCCTCAAGCACTTTTTGAAACCCGTTATCTGATTAAAATGAAACCCCAACTCTGACTGGAGTTTTTCTTGGTGTCAGATTGTTCTGGCTGGAGCGTTTTACCCCAACTACTTCAGCTGTGAGCAGCCAGATGAAGCACAAGCTTTGAAGCAGCTCTCAGGCAAAGACCCTTGTACCACTGTCATGGTAGGTATCAGGCTAGAAGGGGGAGGGGCCCAGATGGGGGCGGGGTCAGAGTAAAGAGGGGCTTGATGGGGGAGGGGACAGGTTAGGGAGGGGCTAGATTGGGGGGATTTAGCAGTCACTCGGCTAGGAAGGGGAGGAACCAGATTGGGGAGGGGTCAGATTGAGGAGAGGCTAGATGGGGGAAGGGCCAAATTGGGAGGGGGATGGATAGGGGAGGGGCAGAAAGGGGAGGGGCCATATGGGAGAGGCACTAGATGGCAGAGGGGTTTGTTGGGGAAGAGGCTTGATCCAAGAGGAGCTGGGGACCCAGAATGACGGACGCTGTTGCAACCACTTGAAGCAGCTGTCCAAGATGTAATAGCGATATCTGCCCCCATTGCCTCAATGTTGTTAGTCAGGTCCCATCGTCTTCGTGCCAGTTGCACCCTGTCCGATTCGATATAGTTGGGGTTGAAGGTTGGGTTAGTCAGATGTAAAATGTAAGAAATATCACAATGAATAAAGAAGTCGTGAAACAAACTGGTTATTACCCATTGGTCAGTAAGGAACGGTCCAAATTGTAAAGAAAATTAGATTCTTTATTTTAACCATTGCTCCCTTGGTTTAAGTTGGGACCTGTTGGTCAGATATACAGATGCCATCGAAATCTAAGGCTTTGAAGGATGCCATACATTATTATCAGTGACTCTAAATTAGTTGATGCCACGTGCATCGTCAGAGACTCGGCTTGGAATTCTTTGGAGTGTGTTGCTAACTTCCATTGTAGTGGTGTTTCCCACCGCAAAGTATGGAGCAGTCGTGCTAAGTGAATTGTGTGGCGATTTGGACAGGACAGGTTAGAGCTTGACTTCAGATGTTTTTTTATCCTTCTCTGTTTTTGCTAAATCCAGGTTAGCAATCTACCTCCCCATTCCTACCTGTACAAAGCAGAAATTGCCAGTCTCTTTGAGCAGTGCGGCAAAGGCAAACAACTCTACTTTGAGGAGAGCAAGTGAGTAAAACAAAATGCCCCCTGTGACTGGCTTGGGTTGAGAGCATCTCACAGCTGAAAATGCTCAGAATGTACCAGTGTGAGTGCGGCAAACAGTAACCTTAGACACACTGAGTATTCTTGCGTGGTTCAGCCATCATATTTTTAATCCACTTTTTTCCCGGGATCTGTTAATAATTCCAAAAATTATTGTGTAAGTTACCACTTGTTAATGTCTTCATTCCCTTCAAATGATTTATATCTAAAGCATATCACATCTTACTTTCTAAAAATACAACTTCCAACGTGACATTAGAAACAGTGATGTTGATTGGTCATTTCATCTCCTCTGACATCATCTTTTGATAGCCTTTGGGATTTCACATTCTTGTTTTCAGGGCTTTCATAGAGTTTGAGCGCCCTCACACCATGACGACCACAGAATCAAGCTCCATTTTGAATGCAGTGTACATGGCCGTTAAAATGAGGTATAAAAACATCGCTGTTGAAACACTTACTTTTTCTGTAATTCTGTTTTTTTGAGCGCATGTGGCCACAATAATTTCAATGACTTATGTTCATCTATATCTTTTAAACCCATCTTTGTACAGAAAGGGCACTCAATCATAGTATTAGAAATGTTGCATGCATGTACTTGGTATACCATAAACTTCAGCAGTTGCCCAACTTGGCTATGCATGTGGGAGTAAGATATGTCCAAGCTTGTGAAATTCCGTAATGGCTGACTTACGCGTTGATCTAAAGGTTTTTGACGATTGTGCTCAATGCATGACTGAAAATCGAGGGCAACTGTGCTTTTTTCTTCATGTTATGCAAAAAAACATCCTCACAAATTCTGAAATGCCCATTGAGCATACTGAGCTCAAATGTTCACTGTTCTGTTTTACCAGCCTTTACATTGAACAATTATCAAAAGACTGAGCCTGAGAGACATGTTTATCTTTGAAGAATTGTGTAGCCACTGAGCAAGATTTTGTCTCAGTGAGCTCACAAACGTGTTTTTCTATTTCCGTGGCCTTGTTAAGATTGTTGTATCATTTGCCAGATTGCTACGCCTTCCCATGACCATTCAGATGTACGAGGTTGATGAGGCTGATGTGAAGGTTGTAGAGGAAGCCAAGGAACTTGCTTCACAGTCGTCCAGACAGCTCCGAACCAACAGGTGAATGACCTCCTGCCCTGTCTCCTCCCCACCAGGCCCAGCAACGAGGAGTCAAAGTCCCAAGTGACCACCCATCCTCCCCCAATTCCTGTCCCAGCAAACTCGATGCACACGGCCATCTTGCCTTCAACCTACCAATGAGCCTTTCCCTTTCAAGCATGCCTATTCGACATTCCCCCTACCTTACTGCAGTCAACTCTCCCCTTCTCTGACACAAGCCATTTCAACCTGCCACCCCAAACACACCTGCCACCCCCATGCCTTGCATATGTTCCTTTATAACGTTGACCACCCTTCTCTTTATTATTATCAGTTTTTCATGGAGGCTAAATCTTCATGGAGGGTGTGAAATACACAATTAACAGATGAAAAGTTTAGTGCTGAAGGATGGCAAACTGACAAAATACTTCACAGTGGAAAAGAACTTGTGGTAGTGAGCCATTGTAATAATTCTGTGATTGATTAATTAATGAGGAAGTTAAGGGTGTTGGGGCAGTTTTCAAACTGACTAGAGGCCTAGAACAGTAATGGACCGTGCTTGAGTCCATTACTGTCCCCAGGCCCCAAGCCAATTTTTAAATGTACTAATTTCAAACAAACCTATCCTATTAATATCATAACCAATTTATTCCCATTGATAAATACCTTTTGGGGTGAAAAATATGAAAATGAGTTGAAAATACCAGCTTTCCAGTGTTTTTTATTCATCAACTTTACTGTGCTGTGCAGAAATCTCTTGTGGAAATTAGCTCACAAAAAAGCCTGAAATATTAGAATCATTTACACATTTTTTTAAAAATCTGTTTTGTAGATTATCAGCCTCCGTAGACACCAGTGCACCTAGACAGGTTCCCCTCCCACCAGCCAAAAAGAACTGGATTGATGTCTTTGTCACTGAGGTAATGTTAACATTACCTGCTGGTTACCAGCTGAAATCTTATGAGACCTGTGTAGCTTTGTTTATGAGCTTGATTTGGATGGGCAAGTGTAGCTGCTTTGCTATGTTCCATTGGTGACCATTTGTACGAAAATGTTCTCTTTCTTTTCACTGATATTGTATCCACCCATAATCTGAAAACGCTGTTAAACCACGTGGTCTACAAGATTTATAATGAAAATAAAACTCTCATTGCTTCATTAGGAGGATTGTTATTTGTGTTTCTCCGTAGGTTGTGGACGGGAATCGATTCTGGGCTCACTACGCTGACCAGGAGACCTTCAAACAGTTGGACAACATCATGAGACAGACCAACGGTCCAAGTATCGAAAAGATACCGGTGAGTTTATTGCAGAGCTGGTAGTTAAACGGGATCCATCAGTGAAATGATCAAGCTATCGATCTTACCCTCAATCCTTCAATCAGTTGGCGCACTATAGCCTTCAAAATGTTTCCACATGCATTATCCCGTCAGCGACGGCCATAAAGCTGTAAGCATGGATACACTTTCTGTTGCTTTGCAGTCGTGAAATGATTTCTATATTGGGTGTATTTTTTACTCTTCACCAACGTATGGATATCTCTCATCAAGTGCCGTTTTTTTTTTTGTTTGGGGTTTTGGATGAAGATTCTTTTACTTATGACAAAAAATTTGGTAGTTGTTTTTGGAAACAGAAATTCCATTTTGTGATCCCTTACCCAAGACCTTGATGCCCACTGAAGCTGACTCGTGTGGGACTTGAACCCACAACCTAATGCTTACTAGTGCAGATATCTTACCGCACAACCACCAAGTCTGCCAGGGTCACGTCGGCTGATTACACACAACATAAATATCTACAACTGCTTTTTGGGGGGATGAATTTCTGAGACTAAAAATGCACAGCTGAAAGATTTTAATTTGAGTCTCTGCTTTTTACACGTTAAACCTTACTGTCAGGAAATCTTCAGGGAAGCAGAAAGGCCATTACAAATAATATTCTCTAACCCCCTAGGGGCCATTGAAGTTACGCAGAATCTCGTTGGAATGTGTCAGCCAGTCTGGCTTTAAAGATACATATTCGTTTAGAATTTGTTGAGTTTTTTACTTGATGTTATCAGGGTGTTATTTCTTTCCTAGCTTGATGAACTTCCTAAGGCAGGTGTGTATTGCCTGGCTCCATTCGTTGATGAGGAGAACGACCGCAAGTATTACCGAGCCCGCATTGAAGCGGTGCAGACAAACGGACCCAAAGTCAGGGTAGGTTTGAGGGTGAGGTGTGGTTGTGTCGGAGTGATCCATGTTATTTACATTTCACAAGTTGGTTTGTTCAAAGACAACTTCAAGAATAAAAGAATGGTCTCATTTTAGACGGACTTTGCAATTCAAATTTCAAGGAAACTGTTCTTGGTGCAATTGTAGAACATGGTATATCCGAAAACGAATCCTGGAAGTATGATGCTCTGGAAAGTCATGGAAAAGCAATGGAAATTTTGGGAGAAACTAGAGTGTCCAGAAATCCTGTGTCAGAAGAAGAAAAGTCATGGAAAGCAATGGAAATGGAGAAAATAGAGTGCCCAGGAATCCTGTTGTCAGAGGAAGAAAAATCATGGATAAGCGACGGAAATTGGGGAATCCTATTTTCAGAGAGAGAAAAGTTTTGGAAAAGTCCGGCAAATCCAAATCATGCAGTGGTTGGTTTTGATGGGTGATTTTTTGATGCGATTAAGGAATGATAAATTGACAGGATGTCCTTGCCAGTCTTTAATTCTGTCTGTAGCTGTCTTCCAGTGTATTATACCCAACAACATTTCTCTGCAAAATTGCCTTAAATGTCATGGAAATTGTCATATTTTGTGAAAACTGTCATGTATTTTGGGGAATCTTTTTTTCTAAGATGAAAGATCTGGAGTTTTCTTTTCATGAAGATTTCTTAACCCCCCCCCGAATCTATCGCATTAAGATTTAGGATTTTTTTTTGCCTTGATGTTTTTAGGTGTTCTATTTGGACTATGGAAACCTAGGGGAAGTTGATAGGCAGGAGTTGAGAAAGATGGCCAAGAGTCTACTGGAAATACCGTTCCAGGTATGTGGGAAAAAAAATAGCTATCAATGAATTCGTCAAAAATGGTGTCTCATATTACTTATTCATAATACCTCGGACAGATTTAACCTATTGCTATTGATTGAGAGCCTAGTTTATGATGTGGATGGTTTTAATATGGGAATAAATATGTGCCTGTCCAGTCTTAACCACTTCGGGCCGGGGACATTTATAAATGTTGGTTCTGCTGGGCCAGAGTATTTTTCATTTTTTTCTGTTTTCAAAATTCTTTAAAAATTTCATATCTTTGTTTACTGGACACTTTCAAACAAATGACTGTCTGGTGGCTACTCTAATTTAACAGACAACATCTATTGACATTGGAGTATTTCAGCCAGGCCTGCCACCTAGTAAAAAGATCCCAGATTGTGCTGTGTTATGTAATTTTCTTTTGTCCACGAAACTGGCACAGTGTGCTGCTGACGATGTCTTTTCACTTGGGCCAGGTTAGCATGCAGCGGTACTGTGTGGCTCATCACTGCAGCGGTGGAGCGCTTTTGTCCTGTTGTAATCTGCTCACTCTAAATGCCACAAACAGTGGTATACTGTTTTGAAACAATGCTGGATTATCTCCACTATGAACAGTGAAAAAATGTTGGTAATTCCCAGCAGCTCAGTATTTTGTTACGAGTACAGTCTTTTGTTACAAGGCCCAGTTCCCTTTGTCAAATTTCGGACACCCGGCTGTGCACATAAAGAGTACCTGTCCCAAGCCAGGCTCCCCTGCAGCAAGTGGTTAAACATGCGTTTAAGACCAGCTTAGGAGAATGGACATGACTGACGCCCTAGCTGCAGGTGAGGGCATTATCAGCATTCGTTCTGATCTCCTGGAAAGGGTCCTGGAAAATCCTGGCTGGTCTTAAACATTAGTTTAAGCTGGCCAAGTACATGTAATTTTTGTTTAGTCTTGAGAGTCGAAAGATTATACCAGTATGATGGATTTCTAACGATTTTGTTCTAGAATTTTACTTTCATTTTCCCAAACACCTCCATCCATTTGATGGTATATTCCTTGTGCAAGTTATCCAAAATAATCTCCTTATATGGACTTAGCGTGTGCACGGTGAGCCGTGTACACACAGACTCTTGACCAATCAGAATCAATTAAACTGTCTCATTTGCAGGTACCAGCGCATGATTTATGCAGCAGGCATCATCACTTCTCAGTGGGCATGATCAAATGTTAATACACGGTCAAGTTTCATGTTGTGAAATAGGGAAACTGTCTGAGGTCTTTACAAATGGATGATTAAAGTTACCAAACAGTTTTTGAACTTTTCTCTGGTTCATATGAAATTTGACTCCTATTTTATAGCTTCTAACATGCATACACGGCAGTCATCATCGTCACAGGCATGGGCAATGCAACCAGTGATGGCATTTGACTGTTGAACTTCGACTTCACACAAGCTCAGCTGTTTTCTGCATCATGTTGCGCAGGACGCGCCGCATGTGCCAAGTTTTTATTGAGAGATTTTGATACTACGTGCACCGGGCACATACTATAGATAGGACATAAGGGTGTTTCACAGAACAAGACTTGAAACTGATGTGCAAAAATTGAAACATACCAGCATAAAACCACCCATCACACTTTCATTCCCTCAATAGTCTAATAATTACCTAGTGTTCATGCAGTAGTTCTGCAGATGCCTTGAAGCACCTGACATGTTCGTTCCTTTCATTAGGTCATGTGATCAGATTTATGCAGCAGCTCAAGATGAGTACATCCTTGTTCTCTTCCCTTACATTCTGACTTCTTTCTCTTGGGTTGAGAGAAACAAAATTGCTGCAAAGTGTCTTGCCTATGAACGGAACTATGACCCTATAGAGGATTTTCAGTCCCATGATTTTTGACGGTCAGCGTTCACTTTAAACAGATGTGCACGGAAACGTTTCTTAACATTCTGGTGTGCTGGTACGTGATATTGATAATAAAAATATACAGATTCGAAAATGCACGGGCCTCCAGGGACATCGTGCACTTCATAAAGTGACTTTGCCCGTCATGCTACGTCACCAGAAAAACCTCTATACTATCACATACATGTACAAGGAGGACACTGTCACCAATGGACCATGGTGGTCTAGATACTTTACCAGGCGGATGGAGATTCTGTTACCAGAAGATGGCATGCTTGACATGGCCAGGAATTTGGGACTGGCTAATTCAGACAAGCTGTGAACTAAAAAAAATCCTTTTCAAGAACAGTTGTCAAAATAATTTCTTCTTTTTTTTATTGCACCAGGCATTTGAATGTGTGCTTTGTGAGATCAAACCATTTTATCACCTGCCTAACAACCAGTGGTTGCCCGTAGCGACACAGAGACTGGCTGAGCTGGCCTGCAACAGAATCATGACAGCTAAGGTAAACTCTTTCTCTCTCAACATTTTTGCCCCCAAATGTCTGAAATAATGACAGAATACCTCCAGTCTGGTTTAGCAAGCAGAACAAGAAGGGTTTCAAAGTCTCTTTTTATTCATATTAAAGGCTCTCCTGTCTCATACATTGCAAAATAACTTCTGCTTTCTTGTAAAGGTTTTGTAGTTTAATTTGAATAGATTTTCATCATAACATTAGTATCACTGATTATTCTAAAATGCGTGTATTACATGTTGAAATGGCAGTCAGTGCGTCCAAGCTTCATCATCTCTGAAAAAAGTCTTCAGCCCGATAGTCTCTGATTATTTCAGTTGTGAACTGTAAAGGAGCAGAGGCCCCTCTATACTTCCTCTGATAAAATTTTTTCTTTGTTAAATCGTGCCAGCCTTTGGGAGTTTTCCATTGACACTTTGTTTTGTTTGCATGAAAGTGACCAAACAGGCCCGACAGAACAAATCATGGCATGCTACTCGGAAATCAAGAAAAATTGTGGAGTTTTATAGGCAGTATTACAACATTGTTTGCTGGAAATGATGTCTCATAAGGACACCAGTGTTCTCCATGAGGGGTTTTAGAAGGGTTGGCCAAAATGTTAGGGGGCCCTGCTAAAGTTTTCCAGCCCGCCAAAATTTTCTCCACCCTGTTATTTTTTTTTAGGGGGGGGCTGTTGGATTTTCCCCATTCTCCACTGTCCTCAAAGTTTATCTAAGTGCAAAGAACTTAACCACACTTTGTGGAACGAACATGATGAGTTTGCCAGCAGAAAACAGTATTGCACTTGCAGTAGCATTAATGATCCTACCCAGACGCAGTACGTAAGCAGCAAATTCTGGACTGGTTCCAATCTTCCCGGTCGTATCATTTTCGCTTTGTTGCTTCGGGAACCAGTTACAGTGCTCCCATAAAACGTGAGGGAATTTCTCTTCCAGTTAAACCTCATCATTTCAGTCAAACTCATCATTTGTTTCCTCAGGCCTGTAACCCCCGAACCCTATGCTTGGTTCTGGTCAGTAAAAAGAGAAAATGCCCCAGAAAAAAAGTTCCACATTGGGTGACCAAACCCCCCTCCCAATAACAACCTGACCTTCTTTACAAGTTGTAAACACAAGCGAATTTGATTCTCAGAGTCAGAAGAAAGTGCCCGGGAAATACCTCAGATTGCACCGCAGAGCATCTAGAATCCAAAGTTTCCCGCGGCCCTGAAGCAGGCCCTGGACCCCATGCCATAGGGGCTTTGCGCTTTGCACTCCGTGCTCCACACTGGCTTTGCCTGCTGCTCTGCTATAATTTAAGGCTGTTGGGAATCACTGCCCCTTGTTTATTCCATGGTCCTCTTTACTCACTGTTGCCATTGGGGCTCTAGACTGAAGAAAAAACTTGTTTGTATTCCACCATTCTTGTTTGCAAGATGACTGAGGAAAGAAAAGATTCCAGAAAACAGATACACTTTCCAATGTTTGGATTAAAAAAAATGGACATTAATGTCTACAAATACAGTACATGAACACAGTTGGGTCTTCAAATTTGCCACAAAGCTTACCAGTCCATCGCACATATGCTAAGTATATAGAGGCAGAACTTGTTCAAGTCCACAGCGCTTTATTTGTCAGGGACAGTAATTGAAGTAATAGGTATAAAGCGGGCAATCTTTTTTTAAGTAAAAAAATACTCTAAAATCTTGAAATCAGTGACCTACCCCCCAAAACATGTACAAACTCGATACATGTTTTTCACATCCTGGAGGTCAGTAGATTTTACACAGGAACATGTTTTCCTGCAACTAAACATGTAATATTTTCTGTGCTTGTCCTGACAAATGAGGGTGTTGTTGCTGTTGTCATCATAGGAGGACAGTGCTCATAAGGGGTTCTCATTACATTGGGAATCCATATTTTGCAGTGTATTTAATGTTTGTGAAAGAATGTTGCTTACTGGCCTACTATTTTTGAACTGGAACGACAGATGATCAAAGTTGACAACATGCACAACAGCAAAATGTCCTCAAATTTGAGAAATCTTAAGACAAAACTAGCTACAGGTATTGAATAGAGTTGAACTTTTTTCAAAAATATAATTAAATTTGCCTTAACATACAAAAAGGGAACCAAAATACCCTTGAAAATGGAAATCAGGTTAAATGGGGACACGAAGGAATATATCCCTGACTCCTTTTAGTATTTTATTGACTGATTGTATTTGCCATTGCATTACGCCTGGTCTTGTGGAAGAGGATATTCAGTCTGTCACCTAATGAAATTATTCCCTGCATAGCACTCACGCCCATTCATCATGTACTTTATCCTAAGTCTAGGAAGCTGGTTGCTTGACGGTGTTGCAGTGGTTGAACAGTTTATAGTACAACTCACCTGAACTTTGGAACATTTATTCCTTATAACATTGAGCTGAGGGGTTTAATTTTGCTAAAAGAGCCATGCATTGAATTGATTGGGAGTTGATGTTCCGTGAGTGAGCTCTCCAAGTTGAGTGTGCTATTGATTGTGTTACTGTGACCTCTGTGCTTTATAAACAGCAGCTGCATTCATTGTCATTCCAGCGTGCAGGCTCTCCCATTTTCAGTGAGTGAGATTTCCCCAAGCCCGAACTATATTTAGGCTTGGATTACCTCCCACAAAAGAGAAATGTTTCCCTTGGATTTCTTGGGTTATTATTTGGAATCATGAGGCAGGTGGTTTGAGCAGGTGGAAATGAACCGTGAACAACGGCCCCAGGAGCTGTTGCGTGGAGTATAGTCAGAGAAAATCCAATCACAGCTTTCAATCCAATCAAACTGTCACTCAGACACCATCTGATCACAGGAGCCAGGAGGATCTGTGGTATATCTTTCAACAAGGAGACTTTAACAAATTGCCCCATCCCAAATTTAGTAACACTGACTGCTTTAATCTTTAAGCAAAAACATTCCTGGACTCCAGGGAATGGACTCCATCACATAAGTCTTGAGCTCATTTGTTCCCTGTATCAATTTAGAAAGTGCTTAGCCTGTCATCTATTTTTGTTAAGTTACACAGTTTGAAATCCCTGCAAATATATCCATGAGAGGTGAGAAAATTGACTATTTGTTATAATTTTATATTTATATTAATTTATATTTGTTATAATAAAATAAATGAAATGAAATGAAATTTCTGTTCTGCAAGATTTGTATGGGGACTTTAAACTTTCTAACTACATTGTATTTATTGCAACTGAGGAATTCTGATGGTTGAGTCATGATGGTTATCTAAACTTGTCACAAAAATGTTTTGACAATATTAGAGTGAGACTTGGGAGTGTTAAACACTTGTTTCCACCACCATGCTTTTGAGTGACTTAAAAATGGTACTAAGAAATATTAGCAAAAGGTCAAAAGTCATCTGCTGACTTCATGTAGGAATGGTCGGAGTGTTGTCTTGCTGTCAAACAAGAGGAAAGCAAAGTCTTCCTTGATGCTAGTGGTAAGAGTGAAGCGGCCCGTCCCTGCTCTTGAACCCATTTTTAACAGAATGAGCACAAAAGTCGGTGGTAACAAGCAGGGGAACATCTTGTGGCTGTAGCTTACCCAGCTGGCTTGCCCTATCCTCTGGCCTTGCTCACACACTGTCCATCTTGGCAAAGATTGTTGGCAGCAGGGCATAGTACTTGTCAGTTTATCCTGACTGGTTTGCTTTGGCCAATTATGACAAGTACCCCGCGCAGCTTGGCCAATTAATCATAACTGTACCATTAAAGTTGTTAGCAAGCATGCAGCTTTTCCTAAACCCAGGTAATTTCCTTTTTTAAACTTCTCACGGCGGGCCATTACAAATAGGAAAACACGGTACAAAATCTTGTGCAATTGGAAATTTCCTTCTTTTGTCTGAAAAGGTGGGGATTTGAAGATGAAAATGGTATCCCATGTAGAGCTATGCCAAATATTTGAATATTCAATTGATGGCCAGATATTTTAAGATTTACTTTTTCTTAAATTTATTGATTCTTAAATTCTGTATTTTTTTAGTGTTCGTTTTGTTTGTAAAAAGGCCAAAGGAATTTCCCTTTAATGGGATAATAAACTTATATTGAATTGAATTCTCAAATGTTTAGTAGTCAAAATCATGCCAATAAAAAAAAAAATAAAAAACAATCCAGTTGTTTGGTGACATAATTGAATTGTGAAAGTGCATTTCAGGATGTTACAAATAAGAACTCTCTCTAGTTTAATTTTTATCAGTGTATGATCTTGCTAGGACTCGGGGGATAAATCAACATATAAGGGTAGGACGATGGTTAGAGCCACCCCATTTTGGCAATAGGCCCCTGTTCTGAAGTGCTGGTACAGCCAAACATTTGAACATTTAACTGTTAGAAAAGTCGAAAATTCAAATATGCAATTATTCGGATCGTCACAGCCTGAGAGGCGTGTGTAATGTGATACTTGTTACTGTTCTTACCTTGTTTTCTCCCAGAGTTCAACAACGCAAAACAAGCAACCTTGCTGTCCATGTATCCCTCTTAGGGCCTCAGGCTGTTATTAGACCTTTCCACGGTTGTTGCTAACATTCTCTCCCCGTCACTGTTGTTTGAAATTGAAGGGCTTGAGAAGCAGAGAGTTGCCATGGCAACCTTTCCATCCTAAGGTTTGTAATCTAATTGGAAAATCCTCTTCAAGTTCGTTGTTCCATGCCAGAGAGGAAAAATGGTTTTCATTTCGTTGGAGGATTAAACTCAAACAAAACAAAAACTGAAACAAAACAAAACCTGCGAGGCATCCGAAGGTGTAAAGGCAAAAAGTCCAAAATTAATTTATATCTCCCTGGTGCAAATCCATCTTTGAAATCATCCCAAGGTACTTTGCCATATTTGAATTCTCCTAGATTTTTTTTTTTTACATTTGCCACTTGAAATTACTGCAAACTTTGGTGCCTCCCAACTCTTTAGTAAATGATAATTTATTGGCTTGGCTTTTTGTTTCATTTTTCTTTTAGTATCTAACCCTTTAATATTTCGTGTGTTCAGAATGACAGAAAAAACTCACAGACAATGTAGTATTTGCATATGAAAGCTTCGACAATTCTAATTGGTTTTAAAAGTGCACTTTTAAATATACCTCACCTCAAATGATGTCAAATTGTTTTTCAAGTTTGCAGCAGATCATAAAGCTGCACAAAAAGTGTGTCCATGTAAAGTTCATTGCAACTGAGTAGAAGATTTAAGCTTGTTCAGTGAAGCAGCTCTTTAAAAGTTTTGTTCCACTCCTTAAACCTCAGGATAACACATGTTTCTGGTCTCCACCCCACTGCAGGACTCTTTTTTTTCTAATCCAGCTCCCTTCAGACCGCCCTCTGAATATGTATGCCAAACCATGATGTCATGATGATGTCATCACAAGTCATGTTGACACTTGGCGTTGACCCAAACTGGGACATGTAATATGTGATAATTCAATTGATATCCTGATCACACCTGCAGCTGATCTTTCTCTAATTGTTTGATCATATCCGGTTGTTGTTTTTTTTATTCTTTACGGTGTACTTGAAGTGTGAAAAAAAAATGTAAAGCCTCTTTCTGTAGTTTGTTCAATCATGGAAGTTGAAGTCTTTTGAATTTTGGCGATGTAATGATGAGATCATCAAAAATGCAATTTTGTGATTTGCAAAACAAGAAATTTATGATCATGTTGAATCTTAGAGGGACAATAAATGTGTCTTTCTTTAGCAAATCTGAAAGGACATCATAATGATGTCATCTTTTCACCAATTTATTTTGGATTATAAATTTTTTTTCTTCCATTCTGAATTTTGGCACCATTTCAACTCGAATCAACTTGTTTGTGTAAAATTGAATCACAAGCCCTACAAACAACAAAAAACTCTCCTACCTCAAGGCTTCTAAGCACAAACAAGACTGTCTTGCTGTCTAAGTCTTCGGGCTGTTCTTATACCATTCTACATTCTCAATAACAGCCAGATCGAACACTTGCCACAACAACATTGCCATCTTACAAATTTGCAATCTAATTGCAAAGGATCTTTGTTATTCTATGTCAGGAGGAATGTTTGTCTGGGGGGGGATTTGAAGTAAAACAAGGACAAAACCCTGATCAAAAACTCCCAAGCAGTATGCACTAAAGTTGGCCAAAACTATTCTGGTTATCTCATGGTAGTTTGACTCATTTTTATTTTCTTAGATTTTCGATATCCGTGCACGTCCCACGTTCACTCACTGAGATTTAGAGCAACCTGTTTTGTGGATAGTTATCCAACGACTGGTTTTTCCGTATCATCCTTTGATGATTTTCTTCAACACATCTCATCTTTAAAGACCTATCTGGGTTTTGTATGCATACACTATCCTTTTAAAGTGCAGTTGAGAGTTTAGTTTTGATTTCTAATTAATTAGTGATGTTCAAAAATATATGAATTGGTTTATTTCTGATGCAGAAAAGTAGTTCTGGCCATATTCACGTTAGCAAAACATCTGCATAAATTTGGCTTTATATTGGAAGTGTGTCCAATTTTTTATTTTTTTTTGGGCAGGTGTTCTCAGTGGTGAGTGGTACACTGCGTGTGGATCTATACGACTGCTCCAAGGAACCTTCGCTTCACATCAATCAGATTTTGGTCAGGGAAGAAGTTGCTGACCGAGCAGAGGAGCCCTACGTCTCCAAGGTAACCATGATTTCATCAGGTCTCGTTTTACCACTATCTCAGCAACTTGATGGCTATGTCCTAGGGGATGGAATGGGGCCCCTGAGTGGGGGGAAGAAAAAAAGAATTTGTAGATGGGTAATTCCAGAAATTAGGGTTCCATTTTGTTCTAGTCCCTGTCACATTAGACGTATGATTTTTTAAGTTCAGAACACATTTTCTAATTTCCAAGAGTGATGAGTGAATTCAAATTACCTGCCAAACAATAGTAATAGTTTGAAATCAATTCCGGTGATATTTCCATGTCAAATAACAAAGGTCAGATGTAACAGGGACACAAAAGTGTCCAACTTTTGGATTTCAACTATTTCTGTTTGTTTGGCAGCAAATTTGCATTAATCCATCACTTTCGGGATTAGAAAATATGTTCTGAATTTACAAAATCATGTGCCAGGTGTGACAGGGACATGAAAAATTGTGACCCCTAAGTAATGACCCTAATGTCAAATGACACTCCTGTCACAAAGGAAAAGAAATGAAATTGCTGAGCTGTCTGCAGCGTTTTAGTCCTACATTTGTGACCAGCGAGAAATTTCAAGCAAAAGGGAATAATGCTATTTTGGAAGCTTCCGTAACACAGAAGTGGGCATGCATTTCCTGGAAACTGATTTCAATTCAGGCTGGATCAGATCGGCAAGGTCTCTACAATTTCTGGTCAATTACACCTAGCATACATTCAAGAAGCCCGCAAGATTTCTGAGATTCAATTCCCCAGGGTTGTGGCTTTGATCACAAGCAGAATGCAGTCTGGCTTTGTACATTCCCTCAGGCTAATGTTGACAGGTAATGAGAGACAAGTTCAGGTTTCTCCTTGTTTCTTAAGTGGGTTCTGGCTCACAAGGTTCTGTACATCAGGCATTGGACCTCTGACATGTTATCCTGAGATCCCAAGTTTTTAATCCAAAGCAGTAAATTACAGATTTGTGGGTGTGTGTGAGTTTGTTTCTGCATTCAATTGGGGACCCTGAACAATAGAGGACAACAAAGTCCCCGATTGACAGAGGGTCCGCGATTGACAACTGAGTACAAAACATATGGGTGGTCTTCTAAAAAAATTAAAGTACAAACAAAAGAGGAACAATAGGGGGTCCCCAGTTGCAGGCAATACACAGTTCCATGTGTGTGTGTGGGGGGGAGTCTTTGAATCTAGGATTCATAGATGCAATGGCAATAGATCACAGCTCAGTGAGAGAAATAAATGTAAAGATTCAGCAAAAGAAAGAAAGTTGGGCAGATGCTCTTGCTGCTAAGCTTTGTCCAAATAGTACGGCTATGGCTAGGAATACTGTGTGTATCAAGGGTAGCCATTGGCTTGCTGCTGCAACCACTTCCCATAGGCATGTGCATCATTGCTGGCCACAGCCAAGTAATACTACGGCTAGTGCTGTCTCCATCGAACCAAATGATTGAATATTCAGTCATCAATTGAATATTTGAATAGCAAACACATGTACACACACCCTAACAGTTTGGTTTTTATTGCTTGTTTGGAATCAGCCTTTTGCAAGTTAAATTTGAATAAAATCCATTGAACCAAATGTTTGAATATCCAATCATCAATTGAATATTTGAATAGCAAGCACACGTACACACACCCTAACAATTTGGTTTTTATTGCTTGTTTGGAATCAGCCTTTTGCAAGTTCAATTTGAATAAAATCTGGTACACTGAGTTATCTGATTGCTCCTAAACATAAAGATTTGAATGCCCCAGACTACAGACCCTGTTGCTACCTCTTGATTCGGGGCAAGCTAAATTGCATAGCGACCACCATCTCTGGAATGGACTGGTTCCTTTGTGCCCTTCTTATTCATTAAGAACAGTGTCTCTAAGCGTTTCTAATGTAACTAAGCAAAACGTTTGCCCGAGTCACGAGGTATAGCAAAAGTGGTTTTAGTATGGAGAATTCAAGTTGTTATGTTCACATGAATTTAAAGAACTCAGTGTACCAGATTTGGGTCAACTCGCAAAAGGCTTATTGGATTTACATATAGCTGTAGTATAAAAATCGCAACTGCTTTGGAGAAATTTGACCCAATGACTCTCTGTTCCATGACCAACGCAGACCAAAATGACAAGTGAGACCACAAGTGTGTTTTTTTCTCTCTGAGCTAGTTACTTTCATTTTCACTCACAGAACCAAGTTAGTCAGAGAAGAGTTCCAAGGAAGTCATTGCTATTTTTATGGTGAAGTGGCAATTGTGCTGTATGAATAATTTCTCGACAACTTCCTCAGGGAAAGCAGGTGGAAAAAATCCAAAATGTGTCTGGTGATGAAAGCTAGTCGATATTATACTCCCAAGATGTAAGCACTTCTGTTTGCACATTGATTGGGTGGGATGTACAGTGAAGAATCCATTCAATTTACCTTTCAGTCAATGTGGGTTGATATTTGACAGTCCTGGTTAATGATTAGAATTTACTTACTCATAAATGCAAAAATATAGAAAAAAAGGTAATCAATAGTTTGGTTGAAATGATGGTCTTGTCGCCCGTGTACACAGCTCAATAACCTACAGAGACAGGAGGAGGCTGACTACAAGTTTGCAGACTCAGGCTGGGTGGAAGTTCCCCGGGCAACACAACTGGGAACTAGGGAACAGAGAGCCAGGCCTCGAGGCAAGGTACGTGCCGCCCATCACAACAAAAATGTCATTTTGAAAGACATCAATGGAGAGATTGAGGCTCGGCAAAGTAACTTGCATATTTGTGAAGTAACTTGCAAAATTGCAAAAAGAAACCCAACTAAAGTGTGCAGATAGCATTTACTGTAGTTAACTGTAACCCAGTGCTTTAGATTTGCTCACCAAGGCACGGCAGTTGGCTGATTTTTGCAGGATGAATGATGTCATTTCTCCAAGCTCTTATTCGATTAGATTTGTTCAAACAAATTACACAGGTCAAGACTTCAATGTGCATGTGCCATATGGCAGCAGGCAATCCACGGCAAGTGTTTGTTGGAGTGACCAGTTCATTGTGTTACCTTGTAAGAGCAGTGAGGATAAATGAACACCTGAAAATCTGTTATCGGTGGATTTCTTTGCTGTATCTTTCAGTTTCATAGCAAATATGAGATGAAAAATACTATTTTGTTTTGAATTTCACATTGGTATTTTAGAAATCCATCTGCAGGCAAGAAAATGAAATATGAAGTTTCTTTTTTTCCAAAATTAACATTAAACAATTTGACAGTTTTTCTTCTGCCTGGCGCTTATGTACATGGCATAAATGTTCACCAAAAATCTTAGTTTTTATAATCCATTTTTGCATATACAAAAAGGCCCTTATTTAACTATCTGTAATTCATTCATTCTTTCTATCTTGGTTCCAGGCATCTCTTCGAGGCCCTAATAGTCCCTATGAAATCAGCTTCGGCAGCATGACCCGTGTCGGGAGACTAAGGTTAGTCAGTTGTCCAGTGGTCCTTTTGGTAGTGTAACAAAGTATTAACACAACAGCTCCCACTGTTGATGGGTGTCAAACTCCTAATGTCTTTCTGTTACCATGGAATTGCCCATATGTAGCTAACTTCAAAATACGTCATCGATTTAGATTGTGGTAGTTGTTACCAATCTGGCATTGTGACATGTGACGGTCTCCAGTGTACGACGTGAGCATTTGTGTTTGACACTCTAGGTCAACCAAAGTGGAGAGGGATAGCGTCAACTCGGTGGCCCTTAGCAACGCCCCCGAGGAGAAGTATGAGAAGATGATGGTGGCAGCCCATGTAGGCCTGAACCATGCAGGCAACACATTGTTGGCGAGAGACACCACGCTGATGCCCAACATACCAGACCTGCCCGCTCTGATCTGCATTCTCTTTGCTCCAGTTATGGAACTCAGGTAGGCTGTAATGGCTCCTTGTGATGTTGTATGAGGGCGCTCTGGCACAGGTCTGCATTTTGAATGATGTTCAGATTACGTCATACCAGAATTTGAAACTTCACAACTTGGAGAAAAAATTAATCAAAGAATGGTACTTTGCTCTAGTAGGGAACAAGAAATTTCCAACATGCTTGAAATCAAACAGGTCACCTTGATGGTGTGGTACAAATATGGAAGATTCAACCTCTGCTGGTATGCTAGGGTGTAATGACGTCACACTGTCTTTACCATGTTGCTTTCTAGGTATCCCGGAAAAGGCTATTGGTTCATTGACAGGCATCAATTTTTAGGCATCTTTGGCATCTTTGGCCTTCAACAAATTCAGCTCTGTTAGAACTTCAACAACTTCACTCCCAGGGTTTATGTTAGATGCGCAACCGAAAATGACCTGATGCTTTGTATCATGAATATTCACAGTTGGTTACCATGGTTCGACACAGTGCCCCATGTGGTTTGCTTTATCACGTCTATCGTTGCATATCTGGTCCATTCACTTTGTATGTAATACTTTGACAGTTGGTGCTGACTTGAGCATTGCCACTATTGTTTCACCATTTTTTTCCATCAGGAGAGATAAGAAGAACACCAGATTAACCGGTGCACTATGCGGTCTTGGGTATGATCCTGAGACCAAAGGTGCCGTGTTACCAGACCATGACATTGAGGTGACCTTTGACACTCTCATCACCAGTAAAGACATTGCAACGGTAAGTTCATTCATATTTATCATGGATTAGAGATTGCCAGTCAGAATATTTGCAGGCTTTTAAGTTCCCCAAAATTGGTCCCCGTAGACAACATGGACTGTTCACATGAGGAAGGCAGTAGCAATTCAGTTAAACGCAGAGCTCATTAATCCAGCTGTATACTCTGAATGGAGCTGAGATGGTTTAGAGGAATGTCGATGGGCCTGACGAGTAGGGTTACTGCAGATGTAGAGTTAGGTTAGACTGCCATAGGATTTGAAATGTTTTGTGTAAACAACACTTCACATCCTCACTAGAGTTTACCACTTTATGTGTCTGTACATGTACATGCTTGCAAGAGAGGCTTTTGCCATTGCCAAGTACGCATTTTTTTCTTTGAGGTGATCCTGAAAGCAACTTAATATAACTTTGGCATGCACACAAGTTTTCGAATGGGGATCCCTGGAGGCAAGAAAGGCTG